AAAAATATAAAAAGAAAAAAAAACACTCAATTATTGTTAAATATGTCTTTATCAGTAATTTAATTTTAAATAATAATCGCTAATTATTATATAACCAAATAATTATATTAATCAAATTTATTATATATTATTCACTACCCACTTTTCACTACTCACTATTCATTATCTGTTATTTGCTACTTGCTATCCATTACTTGTTACTCATTATTACTAAATTTTAACCGTTATACTAAACAGGTCTAAAAAGTAAAAGTTGTATGTTATATTTTAAAAACTGTACTAGATCAAATATCAACTATACCAATCAAATACCAATTGTAATGGTTGTACTTGCTAAAATTTGGTGTACTAGTTGGTACACATAAACAACACACAAATAAAAAAGTTAAAAAATAGGGGGGAAAAAAAAAGCTTAAATGCAAAATGCAACTTAAAATATAATTTTAGTTATAGCTAAATAAGACAAGAAAATGAAAAGAGAACTTGAAAAATGTAGATTTTCTTTTAAGCTCAATAATATAGATCATGAAAGAAAGGGTAACCATAACAATTTTTAAAAATTGCAAGAACCTCTCAAATAACAAATACAAAGTTTTATCAAAACATTAAGTGAGATAGTAAAAGTTTTAAAGATAGAGGAGAGAAGCAGTATGTTTTAGATTGTTAATAGTTAGAAGAAGAAAATGCTATAAAGTTAAAGTATTGGAGGAGTTTTGGTCTCTTACAAGATAAACGGGAGGTGGGGTCACACATAGTGGATTTATGTTCACTTATTATGACAAATTAATTGTAGTTTATTCTCTTTTTAATACTACATAAATATTATTATTATATCTCTATTTTATTATATAAGTTCTAAACCTATTAAAATTGAATGGAGAGGGTAATTATTTTAGGACGAAAGAGTTGATAATTTCTGCTCAGTTAATTAAAACTCTTATTTTGGTTCTTTTACTTTAATAATAAGTTTCTTTCTAATCCCTTTACTTAAGAAAATCCTTTCTAGTGTCTAAAATTTATTATTTAATCTCTTTTTAATCCCTCCATTATCTTTTTGCATATTTGGTACGTTAGATAACATAAATTTTAAAATAGAAGAACTAAAAATTAGTTTTTTAAAAGTAAAGGGACCAAAAAAGAATTTTTTAAGTCAATTTTTAATCCTTCAAAAAAAAATTCCAACATGAACGTTCAAATTACAACAACAAAAAAAAAAAAATGATCAAATGTTCAAGTTCTTAACTCCTAAAACATTTGCTAAAGATGTTGCGTGATTCATCCACGTGTGCACGATTGATTCATGTCAAAATTACCAATAAAAGGTTTCAAAATTGTTAATACAATGTCCGTACATTATCAAATTATTAGCCTTTTCCTCTCATAAGCCACAAACTTAATGCATTAGGAGGCATTCATATCAATATGCTCCAACTTGGTTATATCCTCCAATTCCATTGTAATGCAAAATGTCTAATGACTTGTTTGGGAACTTGAATTTGGTCAGAGTGTATTTGAATTTAGAGTTCTAAATTTAAGTCCATTGTTTGTTTTTACTTAAATGCAATGTATATGAATTTCATCTAAATACATGTATTTGAAACCTTGTATTTCAAAGTCAAAATTACATGTATTTCAAATACAACCTCTAATTCATGAATTTTAATTTAAAATTTTTGTATTTCATCAAAATAAAAAGTGTTCTTATTAGATAGATATTCAATTTAAATAATCATTAAAAGAGGGTTTAATTTAACAAAAAATTCAATTTTAAATACACAACATTTTAATATATCCAAATAATATA